CCTCCTCCTCTTCCTTGGCCTCCTCCTCCTTTCCCACTCCCAAAGCTCACCAGACAGTGCCAACTTCCAGCAAGCCTGCAGGGACAGTCATGCTGGTGACTGACTGTCCTCAGGCCTCCTTGCCTGGATTCCAGAGATAATGAAGAACCCACAGGTTTTCACATTTCTGGGAGATGTTCTCTACTGTGGAAACACTGCCCCTCTCCTCTGTATCTGGTGCACTTTCTTCTTCACACATGCCTGGCTCCCACTTTCAGGGTCCCCCCTGGATCAATCCATCACTCTTCCATCCTCCCCCCTTCCCTCCCCCTTTCCTTCCCTCCCTCCCCTCCCCTTCCCCTCTCTTGTAAATAACCCCATTGGCTCCTTCATCACAATGACATGTGACAGCATTGAAGTGTCTGTGTCCCTTAGTGGGTCCTGACTCACTCAGAGCTGAGAACCGTGTCTCTCTGACACCCACCACCTCAGTGCTTAGCAGGGTGCCAGCGCATGGCAGATGGTCAGGAAGCAGGTCACACAGTGTCAGCGACACCACGACAGGAAGTCAGACAGAGGGGAGTAGAAGGAAACACATCACTATGAGCTAGAATTAGCATGACAGCTATTTCATCAATCAATCTCTAAAAATTGAGAGAAGAGAAAATTCTATAGAACTCATGGCTTCTCTCAGACTTTATACTGATTATCGGGAAAATTGAGTGACCTCACCAAGCTTGCCTGGTGTCCAGATTATGACGCGATGGCACAGTTCCTAAAAACCATCCATTCCCTGTACTTGATTATTTGGATCTAAGGGTTTTTCTAGTTCTTCAGCAGCTTCCAATCAAATGTGAGGGACAATTACCTTCCGGTAAGAACGAGGTGACCAGGCACGCAACCCCCGCCACTACATTGCTCGCTGCGAAGGGGAGGCGGCGTCCAAAGCGCTCGATGGTCAGCAAGATCAAGAGAGCCCCTGGCAGTTCCACCACTCCCGAGATGAAGAAATCTATGTAGAGGTTGCCGCCGATGATACCCAGGCGCATGACCAGTCCCTGATACACCACGGCGCTGGTGAACCTGCAGTGACATTGACAGACACCAGGGAAGAGCAGGTGAGCGCTAACCTCGCCTGACTTGGAGGGAGTGCTGGGTTGTAGGAGTGACAGCAGCTTTAACACCTGTCACAGCTCAAACTTACCAAGCAAACATGAGTATAAGTGTGCACTTCCTCATCTGGGGAGTTCTCACCAGATCTAGAAAGGACGGGTTACTAACTTCCTCGTCGGTAACGGTGATCTGGGTAAGAGAAGCAGATTTCAGTGGCAATATGCAGCAAGAAACACCTGCAACAGCATTAGCTTTACTAGCTAGATTCAAACTACAGAATCCAGGGATCCTGCTGCACTGACAGGGCTGTTTCATAATTACATCTACAACCCGAGTGTGGAAAGGCTTGCCCTCCGGCACTCGGAATGGGTCAGATTCACAGAGAAGAGCTTTCCCAATTGAGACTGTTCTCAGGATAATTGCAATACTTAGGTTAAACTGCTCTGAGTCAACAAGGAGAAAAGGCATGTTCTAAAGTAAGATTGGGGTCCATTTATTGTATTGAGGGAAAAACAAGAGCAAACAAGTGTGAGCCAATCAAGTGTTTCTTTGTATATTAAATCATCAAGTCTTACTTTGACAAATGAAATAATTAGTCCAAGAACAAGCATCAAGGACCTTATTTTGCTTTCTTTTATCAGTAGGAAGCTAGCATCTTTTTGATCCAGGAAAATTCAGCTCATCTCCTTTTGGCCATCCAGAAGATGGTATTGTCCTCAATTCAGTTCAGCAAACGCAGTTGCTGGCTGCTGTATACAGGCTCTGCATAGGAAATGCAGCAGAGGAGCAAGGCCGCTGTCCTCCAGTCCAGTCTGCCAAGGGTCCCAGCGCAGCTGCTCACAGCGACCACTGCTCCACATTCCATGTGGGTGGACAGTCTGTACCTCTGCCTGGGCGCCCTTCCCAGTTCTGCTATTAGTCTTTCCCCGGAATTAAATGATGACCCTCAGGTCTAGCTCCACTCCTCAGACCTCCACCAGGGCTCCTCTTATGGGTCTGTTCCTCTATCCAGGAGCTCTGGAGCTGGGGGTGAGGAACTGCAGTGTGGCACCAAGCAAAGTGCCCAGTGCTCAACCCATTCGCTTATCATCAAAATCTAGAAGCAACTCGGGAAGCTTCTCAGGGCCTGAGGAGGCTGAGGCAGGAGGATTGCGAGTTCAAAGCCAGCCTCAGCAAAAGCAAGGTGCTAAACAACTCGGTGAGACTCTGCCTCTAAATAAAATACAAAATAGGGATGGAGATGTGGCTCAGTGGTCGAGTGCCCCTGGTACCTCCCAAAAAAGAAGCCAAGTGCCTGGGCCATACCAGCTCCCCCAGAGCACAGCCTTCAGTTGTGGTCCTTCTTTTAAGCAAGAACCCAGGCTCCTAAAGGCAGGGCCTTTCCTGTCTGTTTACTCAACTTGAAATCTGGCCCAGAAGGAATGTAAATCTAGGCACATTTCCCCTAAGACCTCAAGTCCCTCTACCAGCTGTCACAAGAATTTGACTCAGAGCACATCCACACTGATGGGCCCTGTCAATCAATCATCCTAAACATCATAAAGCAGTCAATGTGTCAACCAAAGCTTGATATCTCATGCCTATGTTTGTGCCAGGCAAAGTCTCACACATACAGCGGAAGGCTGAAAATGCATGGTATGCCAAGCCACCTTCTCCCCTCCATCCTGTGCATTTAAAACACTGAGATGTGTCTCACCAATGAACTTATAAGAAAGTAGTGCATCAGTTTAAAGAGCATGGGTTTTTCTTACTTGGAACATAAAATGATCACCTTAAAATCAATGTATTAGAGTCGACGACAATAGTTGTTTCCACGAGGATACTCATGGAAGGCTGCTAACGGATTCCACCCTCCGTTCTTTCTCTCTTACAGTAATGACTCCATGGAATTTAGCTGGGCACATGGATGCTAGCTAGAGTCTTTCTCTATCTTCTCTTTCAACGATGGTTGTTCTGAGACTAAGACCTCAACAATGAATTGGTCATAGGCACCATGAACACACATTCCAAGTTTCACCCCTTGGAAACAGCTTGCCCCTCCCTCGCTTACAGTCTTCGGCATCCTGGGATGGAAGAACATGGTGGTGAGCTTCAGCTACACAGCCCACTGCATGTGATGATGGAGCAACAAGATCACCGGGACCTGAGTCCTAGGGCACCTCGTGGAGCAGACCCGGCTTGCCAGAGCTGGCCCACTCACCTCTAGGGCACACGTTAGAGAGAAAAGTACTTGTCCGTCTCCCCCTCCCCCACTATATTTCTTGGGTGTCTTGTTTCAACATCAAATTGACCTGGATCCTAATTACTACAATGCCCAGTAAAATGTTCCTTGGCTAACCTTCTAAATGTTAAGAACCCCAAAGGGATTTTTCTCTATCTACCTTTGCCTTGTTTATGGCTCCAAAAATAAGGCAGGAATATCTATGTGGCAGATAAGAACTTGTGTATTACAACAATATATCATCATATGGTTTATTATCAAAATGCTTTCACAAAGAGTTTCTACTCATTGCCCACATGAAAATAGTAATACCTAGGGAGCGTGAAACTCTCGTTAGTTTCTAGACTAAGTACATGGATGGTTTCATTCAATTCTCATCAAAGCCCCGTAAAATTAGTACTTTTATTAACCTGATTTTATAAATAAGAAAACAAATCTTAGAACATTAAAGATTAAATAGCAGAAAGATAGCTGAGCCAGGATTCCACACCAGGTGATTAGAAATGTCCCTGATTGTAACCCTCACCCAGTGCTGCTGACTGTAGAGGACACTTTTATTCCATACAAATTCTTTCCAGTCGATGGTCATTTCTACATACTTTTCAAGAAGGACACTGTGCACTTGATAAGAAAAAAAATCCTTTATTTAAATAAAAAAGGTTAAAATTGGCTAAAAGAATTTAGATAGTTTAGGTTTGGCTCAAATCATTTAGATTTTGCAGATCTTGAAATTCAGGACTGAACCACCCAGGACAGGACGGTTCTCCTCCGTGGAAGTCGCAGGACTGACCTATGTCAGCTTCCTTCCTTCACTTCCGGCTGTCCCACAGCTCAGACTTGGGTCAGTTGGTGTGGGTCCTATTCTTCTCCCTCAGGAGTCCCTGGGGGGTCGCTTGTGTCCACCTTGGCTCTGCTGTCCACCCAACGCGCACAGAGGTATTGCTAACAATTTGATGTGGGCTGTCGTCCATCTGCTCTCCAGCCTTACTTTCTGCCTGTAGCCATGACTTCTATCTGCAAGATACGACCCTGACCAAGTCACTTTCACTCAGGCCCAATGTCAACCCTGGAGTGGAGGGGAAACGGCACATCACGGGTTTCCCAGATAACGACCTTCAAGCACCTCTGCAGATTTTGCAATCCTTCATGGTCTGTGACTCTCCCTTAGTGACACGATAATGGAGTGTCTCTTGCCCTTTTCTTTTCTCTATAGATGTCACCTTTTCCTAAGCAGATCTCTAGTCATCCCTGAGCACTGAGTTACCATGTCAGAGGGTGATGACAAAGAATGGCAATTTTTCTTTTTCTTTTTTTTTTTGCAAAGGGCCAGACGGTATATTGGTTTTGCAGGATATTAATTCTCTGTTGGCTGCTTAACTTTGCCAGTAGTGTGAAAGCAGCCGTGGACGTTAGTATATAAACAATACTAAAGTCTGCACTTCATTATGCTATATTGTGCCTGCAGTACATAGAACATAATATTTATTTTATTAATTAAAAGTATGTTTTTATCACTTCATTCATGGTCCTTATGAGGTAGTAAGATTTGGGCAGGTTTAACTTTTCTTTTTGGTTATAAATATTCTCTTAAAAATAACACACATTACTTTTGTAACAAAAAATAGAACACTTTAAAAGTGGATTTAAAATAATAGGAGTGTACCTAATTGTTAATTATTCTTGGTATTACTGCCCTTTTCTCTTAATAGAACTGACACCACCACACACACTCACACACACATACACACACACACACACACACACAATCAACTAATTTTCTCAGGTGAACTGACTCTGCTTCCAGTTGTTGGGTAGGCCTGGTTATCCAAGGATAATCCTATTCTCTGATTGGACATCTGTCCCAATTTGAACCAATGAGAAATGGGCATGTAATCCAATGTGGACCAGTTTGCACCAGTGAGAGGAGTCATGGGAAAGTCCTTCATTGCTCTTAAGCCAGAGCTTCCTGAAGGACCCCACCCTCTCCAATGAGTGAAGAAATGGTAGGATCTCAGGAGCCACCTTGTACCACGAGGGGACTTGTCCTAGGATGAAGCTGCTCTGTCAGCAGAGTGGACAGAGGGGAAAACGCAGGTTTGATGAGGTTGTTGAGACCCTGGTTTGGTCAACCTGGAACCCCGCTGTGACTACAATTCCAGACATAAGAGCCAGTGAATGCCCTTATTGTCTAAACCCATTTAAGTTGGTTTTCTGTCACTTTTTGCCAAAAGCAGAATTATCTGAAGAATCCAGTCTAGAACAATGGTTTTTCTTTAATAACAATATCTTTGGCAAAAATAATTTTATAGTTAAAGTAATTGTTTCAATGCTCCAGTTCATTTTGCAAAAATGCTTGCTAATTAGTCTTAATATCAGAACTTTTCAGATTCGGAACCTGGCAGGTGTACAATCTCTGTTTTTCCAAAGCTCAAATTTACTGCTTCAATATAATCCTCTACCAAAGGAACATCAAATGTTGATAACAGCAAAAGTAATCGAGAAGGAGCCAACCCATCCTCCTGTCCAGTGAATGGAAGGATTAATAGTACCTCCATGCAAGTCAGTATTTTGTTACATTTCAGAACAAATCCAGCTGGTCTTTGGTTTACTAACATCTTCTCACAGTGACGCAGATATTCTGAAAGACGACCCACTTTCTGGGTGTCCAGAGACCTCGAGAGACTAAAGCCGTATCTTGGATGGAATTCACCCAGATGTCTTGCCAGCTCACGCTGGGTTTAGGCTGCAGCTATTGTTCTTTTACATAACTTCTCGGGCTCTAAAGCTGCACTTACTTTCTATTGCTAAAGAGTCACCAAATTTTGCCTGGTCTGAATCAGGAATAAAAGAACTGAAGAAATGCTACTCCAGGTAATTACATATATTTTAAAATTTTGCTTTATTAAGATATAATCTACAAGCAATAAAATTCAGCAATTTTAATTGTACCCCTGAATGCATCTTGGCA